TTGTGTGACCACTTTTTGCAAGTACTCTGGGATTCATGTGCATTAATATTCTAGAAAGGATTTGGATTCCCAGAAATTGATTAAATCATGATCCACAGAAAATAGAACTTAGGACAGATAGTCTATTTTGTAGGTTGCCCTCTATCTGGCCTTACACTATATATATGAGTCTTCCCCTGCAAAACATTATGGATGACTGGATAAGCATGGTAAATGGGAATATTCTTTCCTCCTGTTTTGCTTCTTTTTGGAATATTAAATGAACGCATCTCTCTTTTGTTTTATGTGGCACTATTGTATGTGGTGTGTTTCTTGATTAGGTTTCCCCTCTAGCACAGTGCTGAGGCAATTTTGCTGAAATGGTCCTGTAGTATATTCTGTTCCACACAATTCTATACCATTTTCATTCAGTTAATGAAGGCATGGATTATGTATAAGTGCTGCTATATAGCTGGGTTCTGAGTTGGTTGTACCTCTGTTGACATGTTACTTCTATGCATTCAATGTCGCAGGATATTTGGGTGTTCATCATTTGAATACCAAGCTATTATTGAAATGAAACTAGATTCTATTATTTCCAATGATTATACACATACTTTTTAAAATTTTTAATCTTAACTGGAAATGTATTTTCTCCTAATTCATTTTTTATTCTTCTGATTAGTGATTTTTTTCTTCCAAAATTTTATAGCACATCAGATTTTATCTGTTCTTAAAAAGCCAGTGGATCAAGCGAACCATTCTAGGCTATCAGTGGAGCGAAATCTTTCCAATTGCGAGTCTTCCAGCTTGTCCCCATCTCTTGCACAGGAAAAATTACTCAAGCACGGAACACTAATATCATCATATCAAGAATGTGCAGAAAAAATCAACACCAATGGTTTACCAATATTAGAGGCAGGAGATGTAAACAAATGTGATATCTCTGGAAGCTACCAGTCCCCCAAACACTCTGAGGATCCTAAGAAATTTTCAAGCGTGAATTCTGTCAATTTAGTAGATGATAGCCTGGGAATCAGAGGAAGATTAGCAGATAACTCAGATATCATGTCTCGTAAACCGCCAAGGTATGTGTCAAATCACATGTCTAAAAAAATGAACTCCGAGAAAAATTGATATAACTTTGGCCAATTTTCCGATACTGTATTCTTCTATTTAGCAAGTAGGGTCGTTGATTATTGCTTTCTCCAAACAAAAGCCTTTATCTTCATTCTTCTTTTTTCCATTTGCTAGGAACCAAATCCGTGTCCACAAATTTTACTAACCTGATTTTATATGACACCTTCATCATGCAAAAATATGTTGAAATGGATCCCAAAGGAACTACTTCCTTAACTGTAACGAAAAGGAGAAATAGAGTGAGGAAATCCAAGTTTTAGACAATGGTTTATGAGGCATACAACTCGTACAAAACGTGTCAATATTCCACTTCCTTGGAGACCTTTAGAGAAATATCTGCTTAGATTGTAACTTTATCAGTGCTCCTGGAATGAGAGGTTGCATTTGGTTGTATATATCCTCTTTTTTCTGGTTGTTTTTGGATGTTGGATTACCAGTTTCATTCCTTTTAATATTTACCTGTGGTTATGTGCTCATTTTGTGCTATTGTTGGAAATAACCTTATAGAATAGTAGATTTTCACATTTGATATCTGTTCAAATAGTTCCACTTGTGTTCCATGGAGACTTGCATCAGCTGTAGAGGTGGGTGCCAACATCAAACAAGAAACAGTGTCCCACACAGGTCATGCCTCAGAAGTTATTGGCACCACCCATGAAAATAAAGTTCATGAATCAGGAGCACTGTTTGATTTGAAAGGTAAGGAAATATTTTGTTATATGGTTCTGCTTCTTGCATGCAACATCAGAGGAATTGCCTGTGATGAAGAAAATGATTAAATTTCCTTTATCATGTCTCCCTCCTAAAAACCGGAATTCACGAGAAACCTCCAATTTGTTTTCAGCGTCCCAATTTCCTTAAAACCTTCATCTAGCCCCTTCTGTACAACTACACTCATTTCCGCTTTATATTTTCAAAGCCCCTATGAATGTGATGATGACAGTCCAAAGCCCTTAACCCTCTCTCTCTCTCTCTCTCTCTATCTCTATCTCTCACAAATTCTCTCTCTGAGACCGTCTCCTCTTCTCTCCCTCTCATTCTTTCACCCAGTCTCTCTCTCTCGAAAATATAAAACAAATGAGACAGAATGCTTCATAAACAAAACAAATGAGTGAGATTTCTGCAATCTACCCCCCTACAAACCCCCTTATCTCCTTTCTCTTCTCATTCCCCTTTCTTTTCCTTCTTTCATTTAACATTTTTCCACATTGCCCTTGTCTCGTCTCCTTCACTTGTTGATGCCCACTTAGCTACTTTCTTCTTCTCCCTCTATGGTCAATTCTAGCCATTCAAAGGCATCGGCAATTGCAGAATATTCCTAACTTCTTTGCTTCAAATCCCCCCAAAACCCCTTTCTGTAGTAAACTTTCTCAAAGACTCTGGTTTCCATGAAACCAGCATTCATAATCTCATTAATGGTTGACATAAGCTTCTAAGTTCCAGTTTAGATAAAACCCCAAAACCCAAGTTCAAATTTTTCCAAGATTGTCAGGTCATTAATTAGGGTATTTCATATCTTCTTAGAGAAGCATGCTCGACCATCCATCCCTTATTCTCCTCCTTAAAATCTATTTCAATAAGAATGAAGAATTTTTAAGAGCTATAGAGCACTCTAGAGTCTAGAATGCTCTCGTGCTGGAAACTTGGTGAAAGGGTGGAAATTTGCTGAAACGGTGAAGCCCAACCTAGAGTTTTTGCAGAGCTACAGAATTATTAAGTCAGACCTGCAAAAATTTATGTTCAGGAGGCTAGGGTTTCTCTAACATAACACTAAGAGGCTCAAAGAATTGCAGAGGAAATTCGAGATGAGTTTTGACCTAAACTTGAAGATGTTTATCCATGCAGTTTTGTCATGAGTTATATTAAGCAAGAAGAACTGGAAGGCTAAGCTTGATTTTTCAAAAACAGAAAAAATGTTTTCTAACCTATGTTTATTAACCTATGTTTTTATGCCTTGACCAGACCGGCATCGAAGGAAAGTAATGGATTTTGAAAATGAGAGCTCATGAGAGGAGATAAGGAAAGCTCAGAAGGGAAGGATGTTTGAACATGAGTGGAGGCTGTCGATGGTGGACATAGAGAGAGGGAGATTGATGATTTAGAAGTCATATAGAAAGAGTAGAGGAGGATGACAGAGGTGAACCTTGTAGAGAAAAGAGATCAATTGCTCACGACCTTGTTCGAGAAGCTCATCCATTATGGGCTATGAGTAAGCAATGGGGAGGGTTCTTTTGCTTTTTTCGCTTTGTTTGGTATAGAGATTTACACGTTTGAGAGGGAGAGAAGGGGAAGGTATTAGACAAGGAGACACTACATGATAGAATGAGAGGGGGAGAAGAAAGGAGGCGGTTTCAGAAAGAGAACTTGCACCCATGTGTGTGAGAGAGAGAGAGAGAGAGAGATTAGACGCAGGGCTTAAGACTGCTATGCATCTAGCATATTCACATGCATGCTTTTTGAAGAGGGGAAGTGGGTGAAGTTGTGCGGAAGGGGGTAGATGAAGATTAAATTGGGATGGTACCTGAAATAAATACAAATGGGAGGTCTTTTGTGAAATCCTGATATTTAGGGAGGGTGATATATTTTAATTTTGTAATCTCTTTTAACTGCTGTTCAATACATTTTGTGGTTAGCAATTTCTATAGAGTTTTTACTTCTACATTTATACCCCCTTATGTATGTTTGTAGAGGCTTCGACCCCTGTAAATCATGTGCCAGCTGATGAGAGTCAAAGATTGGGTTCAAATGCATCTACGCTCAGTGGTCTGACATCTCTTAATTACATGAAAGAAGAAAACTCTGTCCAGGTAAAAGAATCCAGTTCTCCGTATGCTGTTCCATGAATTAGGAGAGTTACTTATGACTATGTTATGCATTTCTTTGCTAGATCATATCGACTTTGTGCTTTAGAACGCATGCTAGAAGAGCAACTATAGGCCTTAAGCAAAACATAAATTAAAATTGGAAAGTCCCTTTTTCCTTTTGCCAAATGAAAAGAAATAAATTCTTGAGAGAACACCTCGAGATTTGCCGTATATGAGCAATAAGTGTTTTCCATTGCTGCAAACGTTAATGTTTCTCTGATAGCCTTGGTCCGATGGTGTGGGAAGCTGGTTTATATGCAAGTGTTCAGGGATTTGAAGCTTCCACTGTAATATAGACCAGGCCTCTGTTCTTGAAAAAAAGAATAAATAAAGAGTTACTGTTCTATTCCATTGATGAGGTTTTTATTTATCTTCATATGCTATTGCATTTTGTTTCCTTTTCTGCTTTTTTTTTTGGGGGTAATTCAGTGGTAGGAATCGAAATTGAGAGGTAGCATTGTTAATGTCAACTGCTAACCAGTCAAGCCCATGTCCAATTCCTATTTGCAATTCATTTTCCAAACTGTAGCGTTGCATTTTTGTCCTGGAATTTTGACCTCAGCTTCCATGCATATGCATATGACATGGATGCTAATTACTGATGCTAGTTACTGTGTATTTATGCAGCGTAATTGCACAGGCGATGCTAATTCACTTCCCAAAAGCCTTGCAAGTACTTGTTCTACAATATCGGAGATTCAATGTAAACCGCCTCTGCCAGTAGTTTCCAGTTTGGAAAGAGATGGCCCCAACAGGTTCAAGAGCTTATCTGAGAACATGGATATGGATGAATGCCCGAGTTTTGATCTCGGGCTTTAGAGATCAGTTTATGAATATTTGAGTAGTTGACCACGTACAGTTAGTTGGAAATGATGAATTTGTGGTTATGAAGACGATTTGGGATACAGTAGTGAAGCTGTTTTTCTTGAATGGCATTGTGAGATGAAGAGAGAGAATCTGTTTTTCTTGAATGGCATTGTGAGATGAAGAGAGAGATGGCAGCTATTTAGGGTACACGAATCAGTAGAATTATGCTTCATTTGCATGATTCCAGGTGTAAGTTCTTTTAACAAAAGGAGAACGGGCAAAAAGAATATGCGCTAATGGAAATATCTCTAGTTTCGATTAAAGCATACTCTCGTGTGTGTGTGAGAGAGAGGTGTCATATTTTAGCGGTTCAGTACACAGAAAGTGAGCATTCAGTTTGACCAGTAGGTTTAGTTTAGGTTGAAATGACAACGAGTTGGTTTGAATACTGCTAGACGATAGAACTGTGAAAAAAGAGTATTTCAAAAAAGTGAAGGACACGGTTTTGATAACTCAGCCGACTTATCGATTATGTTGGGTCCTTGTCCATAACATCCATCTGTAAAAAGATGTTGCATTCATTAAAAGTTAAAAGGGATGTTGAAGAAATGAATTTAAAAATAACATATATGTATAAAAAAACAAAAAAGATTTCAAATTCAGATCATTGTCATGGTTGAAATTGTTGAGCTTTAAAATTTTGGATTGAAAATATATTTTTAATGAATTGGCCTATTCACCAAACCCAATTCCAAAAGTAAAACTGTAAAAAAGAATACAGAAATCTCGTAAAAAGCCTTTTAACGGATACGAGTGTATATTTTCCCCTTATATAAAAGCTTTAATTGCCTTTGGAAATTGCATTAAGATCCATCTTTTTAATGTAATTTTTTGAAGCCATTTTAAGCACCCTTTACCAAATCAAGTCTTAAAAACTTTTTCAAAGCGGCTCTCTTGTTACCGGCTTTTTATTCAAGCTAGTGGTAGACAAACTGGCTGGGTTGAACCGGACCTAGCCGGGTTACTCAGAACCGGCCCATGGGGGGTTGTGTTAAACTTGGTTTTGGTTGAAAAAGATTCATGAAAAATATTAAAAAATTTAAAAGAATAATAAATTTATTTGTAATGTGTTTCTATATATTTTCTATCATATTGGTAAATTATTGGAAAGTATTTTGGCTATAAATGTTTAGTTTTATATTTTTTATTCTTTTTTTGGATTATGTTTAAAATACCCTTGGTTACGAATTTGATTTTTCAAAATCTATTTGTTTACTACTTTTGTTTTTACCTTATTTAGTTGTATTTTATTAATTTTACTTTAAATACACTGGAAAAATATAAAGAGACTTTTTACTTTTTATACAAGAAAGTCATAATTATTTTGTTTCTTGGATTTCAAATTACATGGTTGTAAGACTGTCATCGAAAAGACTCGAAATTGAAAAAAGAATTTCTAGAACTTTATAACTAGCTCGAGCCATCCAATTTGACATCTAATTAATATGAGTGATTGTAACCTTTTTGTAATAAAAATAAATAGTTGTATATAATCCTATATATTTTTTATATTTTTTTGGACTTCTTATATTCGTTTATTTGTTTGATACTTTTTTACCTAGCCAGTACCTGTTCGACTCAGGCTGGTTACCCCAACCCAGCCCATGGGAGGGTTCCTCGCTCTGTTCGTGCAATCCTTTACTGATTGAAGCTTCTACATGCTTTTACTATTTCATAGTCTGTTTCGATTGCAAACTTTTTAACATTCCTGTTTTACTGAGAAAGATTCCAAAATTTACCTCTATTCCATTAATGGTCTGGTATTCTCCAGTTTGCTTATGGCTTACTTTTGGTTGCTTTTTCGTGCCACATATGTTTTAGACTGTTGCTTTTGGATTAGAAATAAACTATTATTTTTTACATCACAATACTGCTGTCTTTTGGATTTTATATTGAAAGTTTCTTTTTCCCCTTAGTGTGAGATGAGATTAACCGCTGACACCAAGCACATAACTCCCTAGGACACCTAATTACTCAACCACCGAGACGTCTTGTCTTAATCAAAATTCTCGAGTTTTTACGCATTAATGGATTTTTAAGGAGCATTTAACACTTCCTCATAGCTTGGTGGGGTTTGCCGAAACTGTTGTGTTAGGAGCATATACTATACATCTACTCCCTCAGGCAGGCAGATGACCTATTTTAAAATTTTTTTAGTCTGAAATTTTGGTAACCACCTAAAAATTTATACATAATTACTTTCAAAAGAGAGAAAAAAAATTGGTTTTAGGTTTTTTAACATTTAGATTTGGAAAAAGTTAATATAAGGTTGTAACGATTAAAACGTCGAATTAATGTACACTTCAAAAATCCATTGGAAAAGGTTGTTTTAAATTTTGAGAAGCCCTCAAATTGATTATCTCGACATCAATATTTATGAATATATATAAAAAAAGAAGAAGAGATTTTAAGTCTAAAAAATAGTACATCTTGTAATACATTATTTGAACTGTTTATTTTTAAGATTTTCATATGTTTATAGATCTATTTGATTTGAAGCATTTTTAGAGTTTAAAATTTTATAATTAGAGATGAAAACACTTTTTTAGACAATCCTAAGAATTTTTAATACCGAAATAACAAAATTTGGAGGTGCCCCTTAAATTTGATTGTTTAAGGTTGTAACCTTATGCAAACCACACCCTTTTGATCTCATCCTAAAAAAACAAAGGGAAGGTCATTCCTCAATTTTGAGAATTTTTTTTTTTTTTAAGTGGACAAATAGTGTAATTTTGGAGATTTTTTTAATTTGAGATTATCCATGGGATGAAGAGGTTACAGCTCCAAAATTTGGAGTACCTGAGGGAGTAAATAAATAGACAGGATGCTCTTATAGGACCATTAGATCTTTTGGGTTTTCTCACTCATTTATCTACGTGTATTTCGCTTATCCGATGAGATCCACGCAAAGTACAGTGACATCTTGATTTTATTTTTGTTGTTCTGTTTTTGTCTCTTCGCATGTACATGACCGAATTGCGCAATACAATCTTTAAAATTCCCAAAGGACTCAGCATGTTTAACGTGAGGGTAATTTATGCTTATGGTTAACTCTACAAAGTTATTATAATATATTTATAACACCAATCTTTGTTTACATTTTTTTTTCAACTTCTAATTTTAAAGGTTCTTCAAATCTTGAAGATCTAAATTTTTTTTTTTTGAAGCAATGACTTTGGATTTTCGCAATCTAACTTAAGATCAAAATTGAAAACTTTATATGACTCTAGACCTTGAAGATCTGAATTGTAAATTTATCTCAAAAGATATTATGTCTTGAAGGTTTGAATGCAAAAACTTCAAAAACTGTCTTGGCCAAAGAGTTGGCCACCTTGCATAAGAGGAGGGTGTGGTTAGAGTTTTAGGATATTGTCTATGAGCATAAAAACAATAAATGTGTCGAAGCCAATAATTTTTATCTTTTGATAAAGAAAGTTTTCGCTTCATATATTTAAGGTCAAAGCTAAGAGATGCTTTCGATGGCTTGAAGTTATCACTATAAAAAAAAAAAAAATTTATTTTGGATCTTAGAATCTAAATTTATCACATGAATTCTGATTTTAGACTTTGGATCCTAAAGGTCTAAAATATGAATTATTCAAAAATAAAATAACAACTTTAAAATACAAAATTTAGAAGGGATTTCTACAATAACATAAATTAAGGGGGAGGGAGGGTATATAAATTCATGATAATAACAAGAATTCAAAAGACATGAAATTAAATTTATCTCACGCTCGCCGAGGTGAATTATTGAGAGTCCAGAATTCGACCCTAGGGGCACGCTTATCATTCGCGCCGGCCCACGGAATATAACTAATAACGCCCGCGGATTTACAGGATGAAGATTCGCGGCAAAGTTAAGCGGAAATTCCCCATTCTAGAAAATTTATAAAATTTTGAAATTTAGAGGATTTCTTGTGTCATGAGGATGTAAATTTAAATTTAAATTTAAACGTGTTTGGAGGACGGAGCTCGTTTTCCTTACTTTTTCGTGCCAGTTACCACATGTAGCAGTTAGATCGTGGAAGGGTATTTTGGTCATGGTTTACAGCTTCTGCATTTTAGAGGAAAACAAGGGGAGGGGCGCCCAAAGCCCCTCTCTGTCATTGCCGCGACGGATCAGATAATGGCGTCAGAGAAATCTTGGCCGTGAGGCTCCGCGTTTCACACCCTTATTTCTCCCTCTCTCTCTCTCTCTCTGTTGTTATTACTGTCTGAAACCCTAGACATGAGCAGGAGCAAGGTAGAGTCCTCTGCCCTATTTATCTCCGTGTCTGCAAATTTGATTACGTTTTAAATATTGCTTTGGATTAGAAGGTTAAACGCTCGGTTATTCCTAAATACTTGCCTCATTTTTTTTTTTAATTCGGTGATTGTTTTTTCTGTTGAACTTGATGGATTTAATTGATGCTGCTGTGCTTTTACGGAATTTAATGGACGCGGTTTGGAGAGTTATGAGGTTTTCGAAGAAAATTTGGGAGATTTTGAGTGTGATTCTTTGTAGTAAGTTTATAGAGCGTAAAATTTTGTTAACTATAGAGTTTGTATGGTACGAGTGATTTCTGGATCTGGGGATTCTGGTAAATTTTCTTAGGGAGGAGGAGATTGGTTATGAACCATTTTTTGGATAAAAAGATCAGTTATGAACTCTAGTACCAGATAATTATGAGCTCTGAGATGAAATTTCGTGTTTTTTCTGCTTGATCGTTTAGATCAGACTTCTTAGTGTGGCACAAAGCCAGGGTTTGGTTCTAGCTGGAAATGAGTTATTATGTTGAGTAACTATTGTAAGTTTAATTGTTATTGTCGTCATCATCATCATCATTTGGGTTTATGGCAAATGAGGTTTTGTTTTGATTTTAATCCTGACATAGCTTGTCTGATCATGTTAATTTCAGTTTTCAAGTGGAATATGATTCTCTCTTAATTTTGAACTTCATCGCATGTTTCTTGTTTTGTGTTGGAAGGGAATTTGAGATGAAATTTCCCAGTTTTTAACCGATAGCTCATTTACTGAGGGATATTTGCTATCAGGTTTCTGCAATACATGTAAACTGAATTGCTATGGTAAAATTTCATCCTGATCTTGGTTCAATGGAACAGGTGGCCACATGTGAACCGGTCCAATTTTGCGGTATTTTTAGCTTCTAAGTTTGATGAGAATTTCAATCAGCGCTTTTTTTTCTCGAGCTTTATTTAATTTACAAGTAGATTGTGGAGTGGATATTGATCAGGCAAAACTAGATAGTGCACATGTAACCAAATTTTCACTGTTACAGTAACTTTGAGGGAATAAGAATAATTTTCACTTTAAGTTATAGCGGTGTGTGCACAGACACACACACACAGAGATGCATGATTTTAGTCACAGACTTTGATATACAAGTTTGCTTCATACTTATTAAATGTGAAGTGCATAGGGGATGTAATAGATGCAGCGCAGACACAGACACACAGATGCATGATTTTAGTCACAGACTTTGATATACAAGTTTGCTTCATACTTATTAAATGTGAAGTGCATAGAGGATGTAATAGACGCACCTATCAAGATTTTCTTGACAATGCATGTGCATAAGTAGTGCACTCGTAGGGCACGTTTCATAACTGGAACTCCCCAAGGAGGTTCACGTATCCTGTTTTCTAGGAGGTTTGCTTATCGCCTTCTTTTTTGCTTCTTGGGTCTTTTCTCTCTCTCTTTCTCTAACTGTCTCTAAAACCTTTCTTTATCTATCCATGCCATTTCTCTGTCTAAATCCTCTATCTCTAAAACCATGCATTCCCTATCTTGAACTCCTCTCCCCCTCTCTAATTGTGCTCTTTCTCTTTCTAACTGATATCTTTCTAAATGCATCATTTTTCTATCCAATACCTTTCTTGCTGTAACTCCTCCCGCCCTAACCATGCCCTTTTTCTCTCTAACTCTCACTAACCATACCTTTTTTTCGCTCTAGTTGGCTCTTTCTTTCCCTAAATCCTCTCTATCTCTCTCTAATTGTGCCTCCAACTCTTTCTAACTCCTTTCTTTCTCTAATCATGCCTTTTATGTCTCTAACTGCTCTCTCTAACAATTCACTTTCCCTCTCTAAGTTCTCTCTCTACTCATACCCTTTCTCTCTCTGTATATTCTTTCTCTAAATTTGCCCATTCTCTCTCAAGACTCCTCACGTTTTATTGCTGGAGACCTGATATCTGAATGGATGCTGCTGCCTTAAAGAACTATGATTCAAGGTGATCCTTGGGCAATTGGTGCTAGATCGTTGGATGACCATCTAAAGATTTTGAATTTGATTGCAATTCTCATGCTAACCAAAAATTATAAGTGGTGTGTATATGATTAGTGCATTGGCAGAACTTTTAAAGCCTTTGGAAGGCTTGTGAGTATTCCTGGTACATTGGAAGCAAAATTGAGGGCCTTGATGACGGTTAAGAGTTATTTTTTATTTGTTCTCGGGTATCCTAATTGCTGAAGGCATTTCATTTGATGTCACCTAGTTTGTGAGAAAAAGGACTTACCCTGGAGAAGGACTTACCCTGGAGATTAGCAAAGAATCATATAGGAAACATTTGAGAGACAAAAGAGTCTGTTTCTTTACCTCGATGTGCTTAGAAACGCTAATTGTGAGGTGGCTGCTCTTTGCTAGCAGTAGGGCACGACCCTCTCTTGGTTAAGGACTCATTTCATCCCAATGGCCCTTTTCTCAGTATTCATTTTCCTGTCGTCGTTTTTCATCTTGTTTTGTCCATTGTTTTGCTTTTCTCTTTTCACATTACATTCGGTAGTTCCATATAACGGATGCAACATTTATAAAAGAAAGGAACAGGTGGGTTTCACCTATGCATTCTCTGATACTGTGTTAATCCAAAATTTATGTGCAATTAAATTCATCAAATTATTCAGTTAAGAAAAGAAATAATTCATCAAATCATTAAATGGGCCAACTTGGTTTATATAAAAATTTCTGGTCATCAATGAGTTGAAATGACTAAGATGAGCTTGATGCATATGCGCAAATTATTATGACACCCATACATGTAGAATTTTTATTCTGGAAATATAGAATATTAACACTATAGCATTATACATTTCAGTAAATATGTATTGTTATCTATATGTAAGGTTTTACTACTTCCCAGTTTGGGTAGTTACAAACCTCATACGTCAAATTTTCTTCAAATAAAAAATGAGCATCGCACTTATTTGAAGGCTAAATCACTGGGTTGATGCTTGGAGTCTCTGAGTTTACAAATGATGAATATGAGTTCAGTTTCTCTGTAGCTAATATTGAGTGGACGCAAATAATGTGGGTCCTTTTGTACTTGAACTTCCATTATTTGTTTGTTCTTATGCGATGATTCTTAAGAGTATGACCG